TTTATTGTGTTTAGGAATCTTAATATTAATGTTTTTCTATACAATTTTAAAGAAATTTTTTTATATTACTTGTAATATTTAATAAAATTACTTTTTTATATATTAATTTTAAATATAACATATAAAATAATATTTATTTACTTTCACACAGTGGACACTAATATTTTTCCAAACAATAAGTTACAATCTAACATAGCAATTTTAGTAAATAAAATATTTATCTTCAATTAAATAAAAAATTTTTATTTAACATCTCCATTTAAATATAAGAAAAATGACTCCAAAAGAAAAAAAGATAAAAACAGAGGAAATAGTAAAAGTGCGAAATCCAGTCAGATTGCCACTTTGATCGTGAGCAGATTGGCAGCTTTCTTCACCAGACTGATCCACTCCGGCCATAGTAATAGGCTTCGCCGGAGTACCGGATTCCATTCAAGTCTAGAAATATGAAAACTGCTTCGTCATCCCCGTCACGCTCTTTCCTCCTCCTCCTTTCATTCACTCTATGTACTTTCTTTCTCTCTTTTTCTTCCACTTTTTCATCGGTACTGGGCGATGCTGGGTCCTGTTCTGCGTCTCTGATAATCGAAAACGAAGCTACCTCCAAACCACTGTACTGGAAAGTCACCAACCCCACTCTATCTCCTTCTCATCTCCAAGGTCAGTCTTTGTAGTTCACTTTGATGATTGAGTGTTTTGAAACATAAACTCGGATTCGAAATTCTGGAGACCCTTGATTGATTTTTTAAAGTTCTTGTAATACCTAATAAAAAGGTGTTTACTTGGAGTTCAGTTTGCTCTTTTTCCCGTGTGTAGATTTGCCTGGTTTTACTCGGAGTGTTTACAAAAGGGACCACGCACTAATTACACCGGAGAGTCATGTCTTCAGTCCTCTGCCTGAATGGTACTTTGAAGTTTGCATTTTGATTTATTTGGAATGTTGGGCATTTTTTTTGTGGTATGGTGATCTTAATTTATATGGCAGGACTAATACATTGGGAGCATATTTAATCACACCGGAAATGGGCTCACACTTTGTGATGTACCTGGCCAAAATGCAAGGTCTGATCCTATTTGAGTAGTTAGTTGTGTATGTTTCATTCTGCTTTCAGATATCTGTGCAGCACCTAATGCAACCTTTTAATTTCATTACTGCTCATGCGTGTCTAATATGGTTGCTTTGGTTATTGAGATGAGCTGTATCCTGTGTAGAAAACTCAAGGTCAGGGCTCCCAGCTCGCGATGTAGAGAGGTATGAGAAATTTTTTTCTCAATTTGTTTACTGTTTTCTCAGCAGCAGCTGGATTGATTCAAACTCAATTGTTTCAATAATTAATTATTTTTGGAATTTAGTATTTAATGCCTATTATATATGTTCATTCTTGTAGGTTTGTATTTGTGATTCAGGGGACTGTCTCTCTCGGTAATACATCTGGCATTAGCAACAAACTAAGGGTAAAGACATAAAATTGATTAAGAAATTCCTGTGATCGTATCTTGTGATTGATGTATAGATTCCAGATTATGTTCTAGATTATGTACGACAATAGCATGCTCAAGCTAATATTTTCTCTGTTTAATAGTGAACTGTTACTATATTTTACCATGTTGCAATGAAGTTTTGGCTAAATGCCATAATGTTTGTTGACCTTAACAACAATGTTCTTTTGTAATATGTGAGAAATGAACTACCCATTCCATTATTTACCTTCCAAGTTTCAGCAATAACATTTTACTTGATTGAAAATCCTTTGAACTCCTATGTCCTACATGTACCTTTTAGCTGAATTTTCATCTTCTTAAGTAGGTAATATATTTTTTGCTTTGTGGATAACTCCTCAAGAAAATCTGATATTATTCTGGTTGTCATGTAGGTAGATTCATATGCTTATCTGCCACCTAATTTTCAACATTCTCTGAAGTCTGACGACTATGCTACTCTTGTGGTATTTGAACGAAGGTTTGACTCCACAAACATAATTTACACACCAGATATTCATCATCTCACTTCTCTAATTTTTTTTTAATTTTCATGGTTTGCTTAGAAAGCTCCCTGTGAAGCTTTTATGCTATTGCAGTTAATCTTCTTGACCTTAGTTATTGATGAGGTTTACAATTTGCTCATTGTTATAAATTTCTTTTATTTATTCTCCTTCTTTTCCCCCTCTCTCCCAGATATGTATATCTCAATGATCACATGACCGAGCAGATTATTGGTTCAACAGACCAGCAGCCACTTTTGGAAACTCCTGGTGAGGTAATGCTTTCCTCCCCTCTCTCATTGGCTGTTCTATTGTTAGATGTCTATTATGGGTTCCAGTTAGTATGTACATAGACATACCACACTTTCTCCTTTTTTCATTTTCAAGGTATTATATTGCTTTCTGGAATGTCTATCTAGAAGTTGTTCCTTCAAGAAAACACAAAGTGATGCCTATGCTTACCAAATATTCAAGACGAAATCTGCTTTATGTTTATAATCATATGCTAAACTACAATTAGGTTTCCATTCACAGAATGCTATACAATCGTTCTTTAACTTGCTAACAGGTCTTTCAACTCAGGAAGCTTCTTCCAGCAGCAGTGCCATATGACTTCAATATCCATGTAAGTTACAACAAAACCAAATGCATGAAGTATTTATGTCAGGATCAGTACAAAAAAAATCAATGAATCTTTTTTACTAAAAGTAAATTTGATATCTTGGTGTACTTCAATTCCTTTACAGTTGGTTTTTTGTCCTTATGTGCAGATAATGGATTTTCAACCTGGAGAGTTCCTCAATGTGAAGGTATATGCCTGTTTCTTTCTAATTTAGAACTATTATATTATATTATTTGATTATCTTATGTACTACAATCTTCAAATTGATTAAAGTGTTTTTCATTCTCAAACTAGAAGTAAATAATGAGAGAGTATTGAAACAGACTGGGTTTGGTAAAACAGGTGCAAAAAGAAAGGAAAATTTTGTTTAACTGATAGAACATGTGTAGACCCTAACTCTCTAAGTTTCACTGAACACACACTTTCACTCTCAAACTAAAAGTAGATGAGGTGAGTGTTGTTTGATGTATTTAATATTCTTTGCTATTGCTTTTGCAGGAGGTTCATTATAATCAGCATGGTCTTTTGCTCCTTGAGGGACAGGGTATTTATCGCTTGGGTGATAGCTGGTACGAGCTTCATTTTGAGGTTTAAGGTCCCATGAAAGTGAACATGTTCCTAGTAATTAAAGCATTCTAGGAGGACTGTCATGTAACTTTTATGCCAATTTTCTCATCATAGTGCTCTTGCAATTTACATGCTCTTATCTGCTCTACTTGCTATATTTCCTATGGAGAAGCCCATTTTTACACACTCTGTCTGCATTTTTTTCCTGTCAATAGGTACCCAGTCCAATCGGGTGATGTCATTTGGATGGCACCATTTGTGCCACAGTGGTGAGGAACTTAAAACCCTATTTCTGGCTGAAAAGTTGCATTGTATCTCTTCTTTCAGTGTTCCAACAATGTGATCCAGATCTAGTTGGCTAATACATTTCACTACGATTTTAGGTATGCTGCACTTGGCAAAACTCAGTCCAGGTATCTGTTATACAAAGATGTAAACAGGGATCCACTGTAAACAGGGATCCACTCTAATCACATGCAGCATGATATGGGCCACTAGAATTTGATGACACAGTTTCCTAATGGCTGATAGCAAGAAATCCACTAGTATGAACTTCTGTGACCTATAAACATTACATTTAGTAGATAAGTAGATATTAGTTATTCCCAATTAAGTGTGTGGAAATGTAACTTGTCAAACTCTACCACAATCAATTATTTACAATAACTAGGAACATATTTTGTTCCTTCAATTCCAAGTTTGCAAAATATCTAAGTCTGTCTTTCCTCTAGATTTCACATGGAACATTTTGGAATAAAGACGCATAAGGTAGGGTCTTGTTTACACTGTTTTTAATAAATGAAACAGAAATGGTACTGTTGATTGCTTGTTAGAGTTATTTGAAAATCATTTCTGCGTCAACATAATGCAATCTTGTGGTTCAACTCCTCTAGGACAAGAGTTCTTTCATTACTTACAGTGCCTGATTCAATCTAGCACCCCATGTCACCAATAGAGAACACAATAAGTGGCAAATTTAATGCTGTGAGAACTGGAATTGCTCTTCCCAAGATAACAAATCATATAAAAATCTCATCTTTATTCCTTTCAAACTAGGTTGATTCCAAAGTCTGTTCCACATCGGCCAATCCAATAAGATTGTTTCAGCATATTATTCTTATAACCTTTGTGAAACATAGCACAATCCTCTAGTAGTAAAGTAGTTTAATTGGTTCCGGAACCCGTGTTTAACGGGCCAATCAAAAGCATTAGGCTTAAGATATGATATTTCATTAACTTTCCAGTGAAGCATTTTGAGAATTTTGGAATCTGAGATTAAATTATTAAAGATTATCATGAAATCATGTTTGTTTAACCTTGCAAAGGCCAACACCCTTCCATCCCAACAAGACTAGGGAAGGTCTGAAGATCTAGTGCATGAACTGCCACGTGGCACATGATAGACCACCTAGGAGTGAACTTTGGTGGTCCCACACATAAAAACTCAACACCACCACCACCACCACCACCATTGCCTCCCCCACATCCTCTGGTGACCTTTTCCTTTACCACTCCTTTCCCATCTTCTCTTGGTGGGGTGCCTCATCTCAAGCTTTCCCAAATGGGAATATATTATGATAAACACTATCTACTTTTCTGCAAAAAAAAACATGCAAAAATAAAAAGCTTATTGTCTTTTTTCTATTCTAAAAACATTATTTCTCTAGAGCTATCATTAGTGGCATTAAGATGACATCAATATTCTCCCATTTGAAGGCTTTTTCTTGGTCCTGAAATTCCCTTCCAATAGCTTCCTCTAATTTGATTAAACCTCCACCAAACTGTATCTCTAGGAAAAATAATATTCTACTTTCTCACCCTTTTTTAAAGAATAATTCTATGAGTTAGAATAAGGTAAATTCATTCACCATTCTTCTATTGAATTCAATATCATTGCCAACTATTTGTGAGGAGGCTTGCTTATCTATTGACTCTCTTCTCATTTTTCATGTCTATTATAGATGAATTGAACCTTTTTTCTTTTTGCAGAAAAAACAAAACATCATCAAACATGAGAAAAAATGATTAATGAACTATTATTGAAGCAGGAAAGGAATTATTTCTTTATCAAAGTAGCCAAGCTTAAATAAAGCAAACTAGAAAATATAACACCCTTTTTCTTTATGTTTTGGCATGCATCTATATACTTTTGACCATAACGGGAGAGAGAAATTCGTTTCTTTTTGTTTGCTAACCAAGCAGAGAACAAAGACATGCGTCCATCTCATCCTTTCTTTTCCTTTAGTAACATCCTCTGCATTACTACAGAATACAGATTAGTTTTCTTCAATAATTAAATTAAAGCTATATGGGATTCCTCGAGCCTGGTTTGCCACCATGTTTGGGGAAATGGCTCTGTAACTTAACCTCATAATGTTTTTTTAGTTAACTAGAATAGTCATTGATCATTAGATTTTGTGAATTTCTACAATTATTCCTTACTGTTATATTTTATTTGATTATTTCCTGTTTGTATTGGAAAGTTCGATCTAGTCCTCTCATTGAGTTAATAGACAGGTTATTGTTCTTTGGCAGCATCTCAATGTGGATGAAGTTTGCAGGTTAGTTTTTAGGTAGGATGAACATTCTGAGCATGCTGAGTAGCTTTACACTGTTGCTTTGCATCTCACCCCATGAATGAGATGAAGGGACACAACATCCGTACTAGAGTATCTTTGACAAGATTTCAATGAATTTTTAACACAAAAAGCAGTAAGATATCAGCTGATTAAATGCTTAGGTTCTTAAATTTCGTAGATACTTAAGCTATCTTTCTTTGATGTCAAAGTTCCTATCTTAATGTATTAATCTTTTTTTTTTTTTTTTCTATCCATTTATTCTGTTTCTTAAGAGAGTTTATCCAGCCAAATCATTGGTAACAGTAGACGGCCAAAAAAAAGGGTCTAGTTGACAGTGCTAGGATACAAGGGAAGCAGTACAATTGTTAATAGACCAAAGATTGAAACTTTGAAACCATTAGTTGAATAATAATTTTGCTTGCCTATTAGTGCAATAGATTTTGTTCAGAGTGGAAGGTGTAGTTGGTTGCCACACTATGAACGTACACTAACAAGAACCTAAGATTCACCATATCTTCTGGTGAAGGAAGTGCGCAAAAGCTTGACAACTTGACCTAAGTTTTCTAAATATAACTTGATTATTTTTGCCATCTTAAGTTTTCCTAAAATACTTTATTATCAACTCCACTTATCCAAAAATAGTTGGAAGGCTACCAACAACATCTTAATATTCTTGTTTTGAGAAGATTGCAGACGTATGGCCCTTATAAATGGAGTTTTTCCTTTTGTTTGCAGAGTGCAAATAAAATAAGCATCCAAAAACCATTCAACATGAAGTTGGGTGTTTTTTGACATCTATAGATTCAGGTTGGACAATATCATTCCTTATTTCATTGACTAAGATTTGTGTATGTCTGACAGAAACTGTTGGTATATCTGTCTGTATAGTATTTGCATAGGGGGGAATCCATTTATGTACTTCTTCTATGCCAATGTCTAAGTGGAAGATCTTTTACCATAACTTTATGCTACGTGGAGATGTCCTCAGCCTTTAGATGTTGGCTTGAAGAAAGCTGGAAGAATGTTCATGGGCCTATTATCTTTTGGTATGAATAATAATAGATGTCATTTCACGACAGCTGCACTCACTCAAAAGAGATTCGTTGAAGCATTGACACATGTTTTAAACTTTTAATCATCCCAATGGTGGCTGCACTGCACCTTTGCTTTCAAAAACCATAAACAGCAGATTATTTCCATGAAAAGTAGAGTTTCAGTGATAACCATTCCACTTCAACTTATTTTGGTAGCACCAGGTTTCTGGTGTCAAATATTCTCTGATCCATTTAGTGGTGGAAATTTTGATTTTAGAGATGTGTATGGAAATGGCATGTGCATGAAATCCTAGAAAGATTTTGAATGTCTATTGAATTAGTTAAAGTAGCATTTGCATTGATGGCTTTAAAGGATGCAAGGCTTTACTTCCACTGAATGGATGCCAAAAGCACTCTTTTGCAGACACTGGACACAAAATTAATGTTTCTAAGCCTTAGGCTGTCCAGCCTCAAAGTTATGTCTCATGCGAACTTCGTAGAAATTAACTCCTCCCTTGGTTTGACAATGTCTTTAGCTTTTGCCTCGTTTGTTAGAGCATATTGTCTTGTTAAATTACTCTAAAAGGAAGAAGCTGATGGTTCGGTCCAAAGCATGAAACATTCTCCTCTTCACTTTAGTTTGAATGCTTAGTTTTCCATGCAAACAAACGCATATATATCACTTTTCATTGGGGATGCTGTGCGCGTGAGATAGAAATTATTAGAATTTGGTAGGAAGTGGGACAATGGAAGAATTATTTTATGCATTTCCTTTTGTATTGTTATGCAATTAGGATTGATAGGTCGGTCTCTTTCCCATTTATGGCAGACCAAATTTTGAATTAACTAGATTAAGGTTCTCAAGTTTTTACCTTTCTATCTTACAAAAAGGAAAGAGATAAGCATAGAACAGACTGACTTCATAAGTTCTCTTTAATTTTGTCTTGTGTGTTTTCTTGGCCTTTCCATGTCAGTTTCTTTGGTTTCTACTATTGTTGATTCTCATTTCACTACATCATCATGTCTATTGATATTTCCATGACCGTGGCTTTAGGGCATTCAATGACCTCCATGATGTAAAGTTGGTATTAAGAAACACAAATCTCTGCTCCTTGTTGGGTGAAACCTCATACATAAAGAATGCCTTAGCCCAACTAGGAAATCCTTAGATTCACATGATATAATTGCACCAATTATACTTTTAACGGGGTCTTCTGTTGATGGCAATAATAGCCACCTAAGGCCATTATTATAATCATGTTGGTGTAGGGATTTGTGGAGAAAGTTTGAACCACAAACTCACAATAAATTTTTAACACCCCCGTCCACTAATCACACCCATGACTTCCGATAAATTTGAAGATTTTCCTTTATCTCATTACTAACTGGGAAAGGAATTGGTTTGTTGAGGCCTCTGGTTTTCAACTTTTCTATATATTCCCACCTAGAACTTTGGCTTTTTGCTTATAAAAAATGAAATTGAAGTGAACTTATAATCATTCCTTAACATATTGCTCAATAATGCTCGATATATTATAACCACATGACTCACATGTGAAGTTGTTCTGTCTTCATGCTTCCATCAACACTGATGGCTGGATGCCATGATGAATCTGCACTAAAAAAATTTCTTCAATAACGCCGAAAAGGTTCCCTAGGTCTTGGTTAATTGCAATAGTTCAGGGTTGGATACATGATGAGAAGATCGCATTGATATAACACGTTCATGACAATCATGTTACTGCCAGTCTTGCCTTGGTCAGGAAAATGAGTTTTGTTGATGCTATTATTGCAGAACCCGGAAAAGCTTCTTGCTAGAGGAAAAAGTCTAAAGAAAACTTTGAAGGAGGATTGTCCATGGTGATTACTTCCACAAAAGTTGTCACTTAGCTTCTCTGGAGGTGACTATCTCACTATCCCTTTCTTCTTCTTTTTTAACATATTTATTAGTAAATTTGTCTCTTCTGGTATATAAAACAATGCACGTTTCACTCTTGATATGACCTTATGTAGGTTCTCTGGGCATTTAAAAAAAAAAAAGCAACTAATGTAAAAAGGTGCTCTAAGCCAACAACACTAAGTAAGCAGAGAATAGAGGTCAGGAATAAGGTCAATGGAGATTTAAATCACCCACTTAACAAAATCAAAAGCAAAAGCCTCCGCCATCAGTTTCCTACCACAACCTCCTTAAGTGAAACTTAAGTACCAATCACATTGAAAAGCAAAGAGAAAAAAACAAATTCCACACTCACTTAATGCTCTTCTTATTTTAGTTAATGTGGATATGCTTACTCCTGTATGTGATATGTTTTAAAAATCTGTTCTCAATTCCACGCATGTATATCCGTATGTTAATCTTCTCAGTTTTTGTACATATCTTACTCATACTCTCAAATGAATGCATGCTTAAAGAAAAAGTGTTGATTCTAACTTGAACTTTTTGGAAAAATTGTGATGTATATATCTGAGCAAGGGCAGACTGATTATTGGCCTATGCCATAAAGCTTAGCAAGTTGCTGGAGCAATTGTTTGTGGAGTCAGGCATGTATTAATTATGTCTTTAGTGGTGATTAATTTGTCAGGGAAAAATGGAGGAGAAATAGTACTTATGCATTTCCCTTGGTTTTACTTTCTAGTTTTAGTCTTATTGGTTTTACTTTCTAATTTTAGTCTTACTCTTACCCTATCGATAAACTTTTATGTGGAGTTTTGAGATAAAGCATTGCATAGGCTTACTTTGAGCCTAAGCCCAAAAATTCGATTGGCTTTTATTTGCATTCTCCATCATCATGATCAATATTCTAATTCATGAACCCTCATGATTTCACTTTGAAACTCCTATTAGCACTTAGGTAATCACTTGAAACCCTAGCTACTTACTCTAGACAGTTCTCAAGTGGAGTTTCCTGATAACTTCTACTCCACCAGTATTGAAATCCAAGTAGACGTTGACAGATGAACACTAGAACATTAGAAAAACTAAATATACCATTTGTTTCCCATTGTGGCATGTGAATTTCCAAAGGGCAATGGGCCACTCCTAATAATAGGACATGCCTCTTAGATCACCTAGAAGAAAAGAAAAATTCATAGGTTTTATTCGTTACCAATAACTTTTGGGGAAGGGGATGGCAGTTGGGATTGGATTTGAGCTTTATATGAATCTCTATGACAAGAGGCCTCTCTAGAAATTTTTCTCCTATGGCTGCTAGAATATTGGATTTGATCCATACCAATATACAATGATAGTTGACTTGGAAAATAAGCTTGCTTGGTGGAAGTGTACATCACCATCCTTCCACTAGAGTTCTAATACAGAGATAATACTTTTGTATCTAACTGAAAACTTCCAAACAAATGATTCTCATCCATTTTCTTGCTTTTGCTGATAGGTACATAAAGCTGTTTTCGGGACCCTACATGGAGTAACTTCAACTCCTCCTATTGGTTGAAATAACCTTAATTCTAACAGTTCTAGATAGGATGCATTGCTTTGTTAAAAGTTAGGGTAATCAATTCAACTGCTGAAACGGGTTGAGGGCTGAAACCAAGATGCTTTCAGATTGAACTAAGAAGAGAAAAAAACACCAAAGGTATATACCCTACAGAGCTAATGAAATCACTAGGCTGAAGAGTGGAACATTCAAGAAGATCGAACCAAATCCTGAAAAATTAAATCAGAAGGTTGCCAACTGACATATTCTAGAGTTTTTAAATACAATTTATTGCATTAGCCAGCTGATTTTATTCTTGGGGATAATCATCAAATATCACCCTCAGCACCAAACTTGTAAACAAGGATAAGTAGAAAATCCTTGGACTTAGCATCTATACTAGAGCTGAATTGAAACTTCTTGACTTCCAATACTTGTTTGGTACCATTAAACATGTAGGATAATATATAGAATGACAATGAATGCTGTTACATTTTTACCCTTTTCCTGCCTCCTTTTTTCTGTGTATGTGTGTTTCTATAGTCTATACTGGTAAAAGTTATCACTTCACGAGCTGGTAGGGACACTCTTTGAAAATAACTTTTTGCACAACCTAAAGCAATGCAGGGTTCAAAAATGTATTAGTTTCATTATCTTGACAGACAAGTGTTTTTGAACATTTAATTTCTGGAAGAAGGCATACATAATACAATTGTTAATGATCACTGCAAAAATGTCATATATATATTCTGTTGAGGAATCAAGTCCTTATTCTAGAGACTCACAGAAGAAATCTCTTTAGTTGCTTTAACAAAGATGTGTGGGATGCTTGCCACATCTTTTCAAAAATTTTCAGCCGAAGCAATCCCAAAAGTTTAGGTCAAAGTTCCCTGTCCTCACGCGTTTTGATTCCTCTTACAAGCTAAATTTCAAAGTGGCTGGCACTTTGCATGCTTCTTTAACCTAGAAGAAACCCTTTTGGGGGTCTTGGGGCTCCAAAAAGGAACTTCTTTCCTTGAGAATGGTAAAATTGTCAGTTAGAAAAGACTGTGAAGGGCAGTTAAGTATTTTCAGTAAATTCAAAAGACACCAACTTGGTTCTCCAGCAACTTTATGGAGAAAAAAAATCTTGCAATATACTCTCTCTCTCCTCCTCAAATGCATATTTAAACCCTCACCCTCAAGCTTCCCATGGAAAAGCCACAAAACACTCTCCTTGTCCTTCCAATGGCAACCATTCAATCTGCACACTGCAACATTTCCTTCATTAACTATCTGCAGTCCCTCTCTCAGACCCCTCATAGACTTAGGAAGAGAATGCTAGCAATATGGACCCCAGACCAAGAGCTCAACCAAATAAGACTAAGGTCTGGTGCTGATATGAAGAGGAAACTCAAGTGGTATGATCTGGTAGCTCTTGGTGTTGGTGGAATGCTTGGTGTTGGTGTTTTTGTCACCACTGGCCTTGTCGCGCAGAAATTCTCTGGTCCTTCAGTCTTCATATCTTATGTTATTGCTGGAGTATCAGCCCTTCTTTCCTCTTTGTGTTACACTGAGTTTTCTGTCCAGATTCCTGTTGCCGGTGGTGCCTTTAGTTATCTGAGAGTGACCTTTGGTATATATAGCATTTCAGTAACTGTAAATCTCTTCCGTTCTGACCATATCTGTTTTCTATATTGCATTTATATTTCATTATTCCTTTTTCCAATCCTTCTTTTTCCCCTTGACTGATACAGGAGAATTTGTGGGGTATTTTGCTGGAGCAAACATAATTATGGGGTATGTGTTATCAAATGCTGCTGTGGCTAGAAGCTTTACTGAATACTTATGCACTGCCTTTGGAGATGAAGATAAAAACTGTTGGAAAATGAAGGTGGATGGATTACTAGAAGGCTACAATTATCTGGATTTGTCAGCTGTCGCGCTCATCCTTTTTCTAACAATCTGTTTATGTCGTAGGTTTGAGCTCTTCCAACCTTTTGCCTTGTACTTCAAAATCCTTAAATAGTATTTGCTATCTATTTCTTTTAATTCTAGGGTTGACATGTTTCTCTTAACTGCATATGTATATATATCATTGGAAAATGGTGAGTGGGACACTTAATTAGTGGGTTTGATAAATGAGGCTTAAAGTGATTGGTGACATTGCATCAATATATGTTTCGTGACATTTCTGTTTGATTTACTTATTTTTTTCTTAGCTGAAGTCTAATTATTTTTGTTATTATCATGGCCATAACTAGCATTACTGTTTGCCTTTTATAGTTTATTTTATTATTATTGGAAGACAAGAGATAAGAGTTACAATGTTTGTTTGTTTCCAAGGGATTTTGAAAGTGATGGATTTTTTGGGATTAATGCAGTACTAAGGAAAGCTCAATCTTGAACTTTATTATGACAGTCTTTCATGTGGTTTTCTTTGGATTCATAATATTTGCTGGGTTCTACAATGGGAGTACCAGTAACTTGGTGAAGCCAGGAGGGCTAATGCCTAAAGGAATTAAGGGTGTTGTTGATGGGGCCGCCCGAGTTTACTTCAGCTATATTGGCTTCGACTCGGTTTCAACCATGGCTGAAGAGATTCAGAACCCTTCAGTGAGCCTCCCTGTGGGCATTGTTGGTTCTGTCCTCATTGTTTCAGCACTTTACTGCCTCATGGCTTTGTCTTTGTGTGTGATGGTTCCTTACTATAAGGTTAGTTCATCCAAATTTAACCAAATAAAATCAGAAATAAAAAACTTTGTAACCTCAACAAGGTTACGCTAATGATTCATAATGGCATTGATCTTGTATGTGATCGGTAGATACCAGAACACGCGTCATATTCAAGTGTTTTCAAGAAAATTGAATGGAAATGGGCAGGGAATGTTGTTGGCGCAGGAGCAAGCTTGGGAATTGTTGCTTCCCTGCTGGTTGCCATGCTAGGCCAAGCCAGGTACCTTTGTGTTATAGGAAGGGCCAGGTTGGTTCCATCCTGGCTATCCAAGGTTAATCCTTCCACTGGCACCCCTTTGAATGCCACTCTATTCTTGGGTACGTGATCATTTTGGCAACTTTCAAGCACTTCTTTGAACTTACGGTTTAGTAAATGTTAGGGATAGACCTAAAATCCAGTTACAACTGTCTCTTAGGCTCTAAAGCTGAAACTAATCTTTATAGGGTAAATTTGACATTGGGAACAGGAGAATATATTGATTGTTCCATTTCAAATTGGTGTATTAAAAGTTTAGTTTCTCTTTCAATTCTCAGCTAAATAACTCCTCCATAATGTGTAGGGCTTTGCACAGCATCAATTGCTCTCTTCACTGACCTTGAGAAAGTATTTGAAATGATCAACCTAGGCACCCTCCTGGTGTTTTATATGGTGGCAAATGCTCTTATTTACCACAAATATGCAATAAAAAGCAACAATCCCCCTCCGCACATTCTGCTCTTCCTCTGCCTTCTCACCTTCAGTGCCGTTGGCTTCTCAATATCATGGAAACTGAAAAACCAATGGTGGGGTTTACCACTGTTTGGAGGGGTCATGATCACAGCCGGCTTCCACTACATGGTGCCGTGTCGCCTAAGGCAACAGTGGTTGGTGCCAATGATGCCATGGCCAGCAGCCATATCCATTTTCCTCAATGTCTTTCTCATGACAACACTAAAGATTACATCTTTCATAATGTTTGGGATATGGGGATGCTTAATAACTGTGTTCTACGTGTTGTATGGAGTTCACTCAACTTATGAAGCAGAAGAGTTAGATTTGGGTTCGAGTCATGAAGTGCCAAACCCATCGACAACCCAAGAAAGCAAACTAGACATTGAAGTGGTTTAGCATATAATCAAAGGAAAATATTCAACTCCTATCCTTCTTTCATTTTGAGCACTTGATGTAGCTTTTAGGGTTTCCTCCATTGTCAATTTTCTGGGGTTCATATTAAGCACGATCTGCTATGGTTGAACTTTATTGGTGGCAACCCCCTTTTTTTTTTTCCTTCATATCATCATCACTTTTAAATATGCAAACTTGCATCATATGAATAGCATATTGTACTCTTTTAGAAGTGGGAAAGGATGATGATTGAGATATTGTGATGGGTCACAGCACTCTAGTCTCCTCTTCTTTCTTTTTTTTTTTTTTTTTTTCTTTTTTCTTTTTTCTTTTTTTTTTTTTTTTTTTTTTTTTTTTTTTTTTTTTTTTTTTTTTTTTTTTTTTTTTTTTTGTGAATATCACAGTATTATAGTGATGAACACTTGAAGCTCTTCTTAAAAAAAAAAAAAATTTTGAAATTTGTTAGGTCATCCAAAATGGACATATCGTCATCTTATGTAGTATAATAATGGAGGTATGATTATCCCATAGAATAATATGCCCTAAAGCATAGCACTCACAACCTTGGCTGTGTTAATAAAATGCACATGGACCAAGGCAAATGTCACAATTCAACTCGTAGATTTACTTATTTTTTGTAATTACCTTCCATTTCCCAAAATTTTCAATGTTCAAATAATAATAATAATAATAATTGTTGAAAAAAAAATAAAATTGCCTTTTTTTTTTTTCATAAAAAGGAAAATGACTTGTTTAATACTGAGAGAATGAGAATTTAACCTCATTTTTCATGTATGATAAATCATGCACTTTATTAATTGAGTTATTAGTTTGGTGTGAAATTTATCTTTTCAATCATATCAAAAAGTTATAGTATCCCAATCCATTCAAGATACTGATAATTTGAGACTTTCCGAGATCTGACTAAGGATTTCATAGTGGAAATCTGATTTAAATTTGTCCTGTGTGTTTTTTGTGCTACAGCTACCTCCATTCTCAGAAAAAGACTGCTTTAGTGATCCTATGTTTCTTTCTTCTCTGCTTTCATTTACACTGAGAATAACAAAGCTGCTTTTAGTGTCTGTTCTTTATCAATCATTGCAATCTTTGAAGCAGTGCCATAAGTTTGGAGCCAGTGTAATTGCTCCTCATTATTTTCATTTGTTTATTTGGTATCAAAGGCAAGAGGGGCAAATTGGTGACAGTTATTTTCAAATTGAAGCAAATTAGCATCTTAAAAAGATTGAAACAAATTGTCCCCACACAACTTTATTTTAACCATTGACATCAACAGTGGCAATTTGCTTTAATTTTTTATCATATGCTAATTTACTTCCACTTGAAAATATTGTGAGGCAGACTTTCACATTTGCCCTGGAATCAAAATATAACTGAAGTTGTCAGCCTTTTCATTTTCTCAGTTTCAGTACGTCACATGCCCATAAGCATTGGGCATTGGGGTAAAAATTTGAGCAACCATGTGCCATTCATTCTAGCAGAAAAAGGAGTTGGCCTGGTTTAGTGGGGTTGCTGAACCCTACAATCTAACTGGACATGGGACCATAATTTCATCAGCTAAATGAAAGCAGGCTCTGAATTTCATCAGCTTAAATCAAGTAGCTGCATTTGGCCCTGCCCCTGCTTGGCTGTTGAACAAACACCATCTCTAACTACCTCATAAACTATGCTACACTTGATTCAGAAGAAATCTTGCATTTCACATAAATTCTATTGATATGCCTGAACAAAAATTCACTGATAATAGAATTTCAAGAATTCACTGGTAAATAGATAACAATCCCTAGTTTATCCACATTATGGATATCAAAATATGTGATCTTTGAGTAGTAACATCCATTCTACAGATTTCTTCTTAACCAAGAACAAAAAGCTCTCTGTGTCTCCAACAAAAATTGGAAAATTACCTTTGAAAGGAATGCTGCTAAAACCGTGGGCTACACTATTCCGTCTTAAAATTGAGTGACACCATATTTGCTTTTCTCCTCTTCGTCAACAATACCTGCAAGTAGTGTATCATTTTGCTATTCTGCTTCATCTCCATTTATATTTGCATTGGGTGACAGCACCTTGGTTTTTTCTTCTTCCTCTTTTCCAACAATGCTTTAGCAAATGCATCCACAATCTGTTGTTGGGATTCGAGTATCATCTGGTTATGCTTCATCTCCATCTCCATTCTCATTTTCTCAATATCCTTCACCATTTCCATCTTCATCTTCTCCATCTTGACAAAACCTTCTGCCAAAACCTTAATTGATGAAACCATCTCTTCCACTGGATCCAAGCCCCTTTTAGCTCTACCACCATCATTGTTCTTCCTCCCGAAATGCTGTCTTGACGAAGAAACAAATCCATTCAAAGCCTCATAATCAGCAGAGGGATCCAAGCTCCCCCCATCAATTCCCCCAGATTTCCTTTTCAAAGGAATCCCTGGAGGTATTGAATCCCAATCAGTTGGAACTTTAGCTCGAAATCCACCTCCTTCATCAATCATATACTCTTCTATACCATAATCATAATCAAGATTAGAGCTAAAATTCACATCCAACTTGCTATAATTCTTAGCTTTAACCCCTGAAGGCAACGAACTCCGATCACCTAGACTCCTGACAGGAAACCCACCAACACTGCGATCCATGTCAACGACAGAACCATACCCATCAACAATTCTACCATTACTTCTAAACATCATATCTTGTGCTCCCAAATCTCTATTACCCATCAACGTCACACCATACCCACCTCCCAGTTCGTGATCAGAATCAAAATTCCCTTTGAAATTGGCAAATTTTGACCCATACCCATCTCCATAATCATGATCAAAACCTAAATTAGACCCAGAAACCCCATCACCCCTGCCATGATTTTTCAATTTTAAACGAATCTCATCAGCGGCGATTTCTTGATCAACAACATGATCATGATCACCAGATCCAGTTGCCAAGGAAGAAGCAAAATTCATAGAATCCAGCAGAGGAAACAAATCCCAAGAAGAAAAGAACTTGCCTGGACACCTGAGACTCCGTTGCTTCTCACCACGGTAACGCTTCCTCAGCTTCTCGATCTTGTGCCGGCACTGTACGGAAGACTTAGTCCCAGAAACCGATGCGGAAGAGACAGCGATAGCCACATCATCCCAATCAGGTGCCTTGAGGTTACCACGTCCAAGACCGAACCACTTTTCCCGGTAAGCCTCGATCAAGGCTAGGGTTTCCTCCCGGGTCCAGCACGGCGGTGGCACCCTCCGATTGGAGGCGGGTTGCGGAGGAGGACTAGACATAGGGGTGGCGGTGGAAGAGAAGGGAAGTAAAAGTGAAGACGTGAAAAGAGGGGAAGTAGAGGAGGGGAGGAGGCGTGGGGCATTACGGGTGGGTGGGTGGGAGGAGTAAAGGAGGCGAGGGAAGTGGGGGCGGTGCGGGCTAACGTGCGCGAGGTGTGTGGGTGCAGTGCGCACACGGACAAGGGGACAGCCAACACGTAGGACTTAGTCCGCCACTAATAACGCACTTAACTCCTCTCTTCCGTACGGATACTCCGACGTGGCGGCGGTGGTGGCGCGTGAAATACTTCTTAACACTGACTTGGTAAAACCCCCCTCAAAGTAGATGCTATTCCCCTCCCCACCCCGTTCCGCCGGGGGGCTTTTCTTTTGGGCCTTGGGAATTGGGGGGATAACTGAT